ATGAAAAATTACACAGATCAAGGCAGGCTCACTTTCTTGGCACCTCTTCACCAGACTCCTTCCTGCCGGATCGCTTGTTCTTTGCTGCCCATGTGCGTGTCTCAAAAGTGAGCTTGCTCGCAGGCTACTGCCCCTGGGATCTTACCTCATACCCCCAGCAGCAGCCGAGGTTCTTTGGTTTGAAATGACCACCCTTCTGTACTTGAAATTTGAGTGAGGGATTCATTACTTATTTCACTGACCTTATGTAGGGAGGGTATGGATGTTTCCTGAAACTGCGCAGTTATAGTAAAAAAGGCTCAATTTTTTTATATCAACCTGCAAGTGTCCATCTTAGTACCTCGTATACAGTTGGTTTGTCCTACTTGTACACCGAATGCTACATAGCTAACAGTGCAGCGTAGCGTTTGGTGTAGGAGGGTGCCATTTTAGGGGCCTATCATTTTATAAGCAAGTGTCAAACCAGCCAGAGAGGCGAGGGGGGCAGGGGGTGGAGGGGGAGAAAGGGGGTCAGTGGGATACCACTATGCCTGATTTTTGTTTCTTAAGATATACCTAACATAATATCTTATACAGTTAATTCATGTCTACATGCATATACTGAATACTTAAAATTCAGGAAAAACTAGATACCCAAATTGTGACAACAAAAAAATACCATATACCTGAATTAAGATTGATCCAGATACCATACATGCATACCCAATGGCCTGAAGAGCAGAAAAGTGCAATGTTTTTGGCAGGTGTAAGTTAATAATTATCTCCTGGCACCTAACTCTAGTCTCTGTAGTATGAAGTAAGGCTAGGAATGTTGGTAGATCACTAGACGGTGTTTAAATATCACTGACAGAAGTCATCCTTTCCTATTACCGTACTCCTTTTTAAGAATTTAAAGAAGCAGTCTGAGAGTAAAGTGCTTTCTCTAAGAACACAAAAGAATGACCTTGGCTTGTAAAAAAAACTCACTGCTACAATCATGTATATTTGTGCTTAATGGCATTATATATCTCAATGATGAAATTGAGAGAATACATGTAGTCTCCAAATACCTCAGGGGATGAAATGACGTTACCCTTGAATAACAGAAAATTAGTTTTTATAGTTTGATCATCTGGGTTAGGGTACTTAATGAGGTCAGGTTGTTGAGATGTTAGTCACCAACAAAAGTTCTTTTCAGAACTACCCTCACGCAGATGATCACACTATACCAACTACTGATACTCCTGGGTTCAAGCCAATTACTATGAACACAAAACAGAAACGTATCACAAAAGGTGATATTCTTCTGACACAAAATTAATAACCATACTGTATACATCAACAGTGTTATTTCTCCTAATAACTGAATGTGCTGCTATGAGAAAAACTTGGCAAGCTATATCTTGAGAATACTCAAAGCACATAACTGGATAGTGACAACGCTTAGAGCACTCTTCTTTTATTCTTACCTTCTCTCAAAAGCCAACATTGCTGATAAAGTTGTTCTGATCAGAGTATCTTTTTGTTATACAGCTTGGTGTCTGGGACACTGCAGGAGTGGAAAGATTCCGCACAATTACAAATAACTACTATCGTGGATCTCATGCAGCAATTTTTGTTTATAGTGTCGATGAGCCTTCGTCCATGCACTATTTAGGTCACTGGATTCGGGATCTAGAAGAACATGCTCCAGACGCATTGAAAATACTCGTCGGCAACAAAAAGGACTTAGAATGTCAGATATCCACTGAAACCACTGAGTTATTTAACAATGCAAATGAATGCTGCCTTAGTGTCCGTACATCAGCAAAGACAGGGGAAGGTGTTCAAGATACTTTTAAAAGCATTGCGGAGATGTTGGTCGAGAAAGTGAAGCAAGAAGAGTCATCGGCATCTCAGACTGTGGAGCTAGAAAATCCACAGCCAATGGTTAGGCATTGGAAAAGTGGTTGCTGTTCTTAACGCAATATGTAATACTTTATCTTTTATATTCGCTGAGTGCGCAGGTCAAAATGTAATATCTGATTTCTTCTCACATCTCATCTTAGTTAATAATGTGTACAGTCACGTACACCATTGTGGATGGCAAAATGTTCTAAACATTTGCAGATGATAAAAGCTACTGTACACTTACAGATAAACTGCACTCAAAAATCAACAATAGAAAATATAATAGAAATCAAATTTTGGAGAAAGTATTTTCAGGTTTCAGAGTTAAGCATGAAAAGAGAAAAATTATAGTAAAAGAATGTGGTCTCTTAATATATAACCACAAACAGAGTCATTGAATCACAAGAATATGTTTTTTTTTTGTATTCAATTGTGGCATGTAATTCTCAACAAAATGCAATTTATAAAAATTTAAGAATTTGTTTCTAGATGCTCTTGCAGATAAGCTGCATCATTATTTGGGGCAATAGCTTTTCTTTTCGTGGGGCAGGAGTGATGAGGTACTGCCTATCTTCATGGTTATGCTTAAATGTTACAGTAAATTTTCAAACAAACATTGATAGGAATGTATGGATATGAATAAGAAAATAAGAAGTATATTTTGAGTTTAACGAATATTTTATATAGAGTCATATAACTTCAGATAGAAACATTCATAGTTAAAATATGCGAGTATGCAGTTCGCTATTAAATGAGACATTTTAATTAATCAGCATAATGTCCTTTTCCCTGCAAGGGAAATAGGGCCTTAATTTTCATTAAAATGTACATACTATTAAGGGAAAACAAAAGAACATTTGAATGTAATGTAACGTAAATGGCTAAGTCTGCATACAAGCCAAGTGGCCCATAAGGTTGGAGCTGAAACATAGCATAAAGTGACTAGGAACATTTCTATCCCCCCCCCACCCTCCTGGATAGCTGGCACCCACTTATACACCTGGGTGAAGAGAGGCTCTGTGAGAGTGAAGTGTTTTCCCAAGAACACAATGCAGTGTTCCCTTCCCGGCAAGAGCTCAAACCGAGACCTTTTGTTCTGGAGTCGAGTGCACTGACCATGAGGCCACCGCACCTCACACTGTAATGTACATATTTATGTATTATTAATTCGTACTGGTTTCAACAACCAATAGAGGTAATTGTGGATTTGGGGTCGACGTTTAGTGGGCTTGCAACTCCATCTCCAGTTGTCTCATTTTTGAACACTATGAAAAGCTGGGTCGGATCTAGGGGGAAGGGGTAATAAATTTAAAAAAATGGTACAATATATCAAGCTGACTTGGCCTCAGGACGTTGGAAATCGCATTTCTGAGGACCTCAGTTTTAGAAGTT